TATAAGCTGTCCTCCCCCACTGGGCAGGGGCAATGGGAGAAGGGAATTCTTTAGTTACTACTCTGCCTCGCTGGAAGACAGACATTCCCGTAAAACTGTGTGTGGGAGCCTTTCACACTGAAACCAAAACAGTGGTGGAAGTAAATTCAGCGAGCTGCTTCTCATGCAGCGCAGCTGCTCCGTGGAGGGAGGAGGATATTTTATTGTACACACACCAAGTGCCAGACAGCAGCCCCAGTGCAGTGCCAGAGACACGGCTCTCCCTGCCTCTGCCCAAGGGATGCTGTTGTCAAAGCTCTTGGACCTTCACATGTCAGTCCCAGCCTGTCCCTTAGCACCCTGAGGAGCTGGGAGCAATGGGTTGTTTCTGATTGCAGCTGTTTTAATCCAATTAAATCCGTGTTTGGGGACTGCACAACCTGCAGAGTGAATTGATGTGGCGCTCTTGACTTTCTAATTGCACCAGATTGATGCTGCTAGGAGAAGGAACGTGGGCCAGCCATGAACTCATGTGACAAATCTGTTTCATGGGAAAAACTCATTGCACCTCATTGCTTCATGCAGCACCACTCCAAAGACATAGTGATGCCAAAACCAGGTCTTACTGCAGCCATGAGGCACCACATGTTACACATTACACAGAAAGATCCTGTTGAGATGGTGAGACACAGTTTTGTTTTGCAGGTTTTAAACTCAATATGGGAGAATAGGAAAGGTTCATTCTCTGTATTAGACCAAATTGACAACATTGAAATACTTTATGCTTAATAGAATTGATTTTACACCCACCAAGAGAATAGTTAAACACTAAAAATCAATGCCAATCTCTAAAGTCCTGTGTTTTTGATCACATTTGATTGGTCTGTAACAAGGTATATTGAAAACTGTCAAAGCAAAGGGGAAAAGGTAGCCAAGGGTATAATGCAGTCAGAACCATCATACCCTTCATAATAAACAGAATATCAAAATATTAATGACAATATAATTCTGCCTGGCAATAAAACTACACTGGCAGTTTAGGAGACTGGTGTCCTAGAGCTGGCCTGTATTCCTGCTTCATATCAAAGGGAAAAAACTTAGAACCTGGCAATTCTGTGAACATCAGTGGAGCGCAAGTATGGCTTCGTACTTGGCCTGAGCAAGTCCAACTACTGTTAATCTGTAATTTCTAGCCCAGAAAAACCTACTTTTCCATTAACAACTGAGGTAACTTCCTGTCTCAAACATTTGCAGCTTAGATTTCTCTGTCCTTCAAGGCATAAAGATTATTATTTGCAAAAAATATTTAAAGAAATGTTGACTTTTTAAACTCTAGTAGCATTACCAAACTATATTCCTAGGGCAATTTAAGAGAATGACAACAATTAGGTATTATTTATAAGGGACACCCATTTCTGAAAGGCCACTGCAAAAGTTACATTGGAGATGCACTTTAACCAAGTACTGTGCCTAGAGCAGCACAACTAGTCAGGAAAAGTCAGGCTTCCTCATTATTATCAGCATTGGATAAAGACACCTCTAATTTGTATCAGGTGTTTGAGAATTCTTTATTAATTAATAAATGGGCATGGTACATGAGTTACTGATTGCTCTTTGTTGACCTGTGGCATTCATATTCTCTGAAAAATCCCTTCTCCCAGGATTTTTCTTCTGGGAAGCTGAGAAGCCTCAGAGAATAAGGAAAACAGTAATGATCTCATTTGCTTCTCCTGTGTTTTGCTCACATGTGGAATGTGTTTGGAGATTGTTTACCCACAGGTGATTGTTTCATTGGTTTCATGTGAATTGTTTTGACTCTTTAGCCAATCAGGGGCAAGCTGTGTTGAGACTCTGGAAAGAGTTACAAGTTTTCATTGTTATCTTTTTAGCCTTCTGTAAGTATCCTTTCTCTATTCTTTAGTATACTTTAGTATTTTTTAATATAATATAGTATCATAAAAAAATAAATTAGCCTTCTGAGAACATGGAATCAGATTCATCGTTCCTCCCTTCATCAGGGCACCCCACAAATACAATATTGACCTGTGTATAACTGACCCTAAGGGACAGAAAACAACCCAAATTCTGGATTCACATGGGGATAAGGAAGACCTGCAGGGCTGTAGACACAATATAAAGAGATGATGGATCTTGTGCCACCAGCTCCAGCCCTGGGTACGTCTGTCTGGCAAGGTCTGACCACTGGGAGCAGGATGGTCAGAGCTGTCAGTGCCCATGCCAAGCCCACCAAAGCCAAACCTCCCCCCTGTGCCAGTGGAAACTCCAAACAAAGGCACTCTGTGAGCCCGAGAGCAGAACTGCCATTGATCCTTACAGGGAACTAGGTCAGAGAAGCCCCAAGGCCTCTCTGAGCTGCAGAAGCCTACAAAGGGATGTTTCTGCAGCTGAGGGTGCCTTGTGCCAAAGAGCAGCCAATTAAGGGTCTTTTCCAGGCACACCCATGCACGGGGAGCAGGAGAAAGGCAATGCCCCAGCCCCTCCTCAGTCCCAAAACCATCCTGTGGGCTAGCTGGGGGCAGGGAATTCTCTGCAAATAAATCTCAGTGGATGCCAGAGAGCCTCAGGCTACACTGTGGCACCAGCAAAAGCCAAGGATTTTACCCACTGGGGACTGAGAGGACACCAAACAACCTGAGAGCTGTTACAGCTGAATTGCAGTGTGGTTGCAGTGCACTACATGGAATTTTTAACAGCAGCTTGCAGTTAAAAGGTTCTCTGACCACTGTCCCAGTCATGGGACAGCCAGTAATCTCTGTGTTTTCTTACAGCAAGTTATGACACACTAGGATTTTTTTTCAGACAGTTTAACAGGGAGATAGAGAACAACATTTATTTTAGGCATGACATAGAATGCACTTGCTGAAATCCCATTAATGGTAAGAGTGCATATAAACAGCAGAACAACTAAGAAGGAACATGAAATACAGCTTGGCACAAAGGAGGAAACAATTTGCTTAGACTTCAGCATCTTGCATTGCTTCAGCCTAAAGAAACGTTGTAAGGAAACAAGACTGGAAATTGGGTATCAGGCTGCCTGTATGGTGTGACACAGAGGGGCACTAATATTAACATGATACCTGAATACATTCTCTGGGAACACTGCCTCCCACACACTAGGAACTTGTATCATTAGACAAACCTTCCTAAGCCTTAATTTTTTTCTTCAATTAGCTCCCACACTCACAAACACAAAACTGCCATAAGGATCTCTCACTGTTTTAGAAAACTCAAAATTGCCTATCACAGGGGAAGAGCAGCAATGACAAAGCCTGGTGGCAGGTGAGCATCCAGATCCACCCAGCCCTTCCTTCACAGCACACAATTGTGTGTGAAACAATTCCCATCCTGCTGCTTCCCAGGAGTTTTAGGCAGCACAAGAGCTCCCTCTGAGCAGCCCTGATGGCTCTCTCCAAAAACACCCAGGAGAAGTTTGAGGAGTGATTTTCCCCCACCTATTTCTGCTTGCTGCTGCTGAAAAATCAAGAGGGCAGCAATCTGAACTCAAAAAGACACAGGGCCCCCCTGTTCTTTCTCATGTTGTTAATATTGAAATTCTGCATCATTTTGGAGCCCAGCCATAGAAGGAAATCAGACAGTAGGAACAGTCACAAATAAAGTACCCTGGACATTCTGAAAATTTTACTTTTTTGTTTTTTAGTTAATTTCAGCTGTATTTTGAATGTGTAGGAAACAGCCAGCCTGCTATCCTCAATCTTCCTTCCCTTCAGTCTAATATATTCCTTTCTCCATCATATTTATCTTTTGGAACCCTTTCCCGTCATTGTCCATGATGTGGCATTATCCTAATTTGCAACAGTCTTGCTTTCTTACCTACCTTTTACAATGGCAGCTGTATCTGAATTGTCTTTATTTTTCCCCCCATATTAAAGAAGACGTTTTTTCCTGTTCTTCATGTGAATGGGGTAACACAGAAGACTCTAGTCTTGGATTATCTCTGTGCTCTACTAAACAGCAGCTTTTACCTGAGTTGAATTGGGTGAGGGGGGGAGCAGGGATTAGTTAGTTTGGTTTTTTTTCATTTTCATTTATCCTAACCAGGCACCAGAAGCAAAAAGTCTGATGATACCCTCAAGGGTATGCTCACTGGAGATATTTGAGAACATTTTGGCACAACCCTGTGCAGTGTGCTCTGGAATGAACCTGCTTGAGCAGGGAGGTTGGACAAAACCTGCTATGGTGCCTTCCAACCTGACCTATTCTGTGATTAATCTGTGGAATTAATGGGAAAACTTCCTGCTGGAATAATAGCTCAGTATGGTAAAATGGGGGACAGCAACATCATTAAATACTCCTGGCCATACAGAAATTGAGACTTTTAATTTTTTTTTAATACAAGAGGTGGGGTGAGGGAACAGAAGAAAAAGACATTTAAGAAGATTTGAGGGGCAATTTCTAACAGTATTGTTCATAGGCTACCTACTGAGGGGAAAGCGAGATGTTCCAAAAGAAGAACATTACAGAGATAAGTAAGGGTAAGACAAAATGAACATTTCATCAAATTTATAGGAATTATGGGATCAGAAAACTCCCTAGACACTGAAGACATCAGGACTTCTCCCATTAGTACTAGTCATATGGAGACATAGGAATGAGATACCACAGCACTTCTGGGGGTTTTTTTTTAGGTATCACTTTAGTCTTAACTCCAAACACATGGGAATGTAGCATGCCACTCTAAGTTCCTATATAAAATACACAAAGCTCCTATATAAAAAAATATAATATATAAAATATAATAAAAAAATAATAAATATAATAAAATATATAAAGGTCCTATACTTCATATAAAGTATAAATAATGAGAGCAAGGACTTACATCCCATTCTAGATAGCAGCAGGTAAAAGAGATGCATTACAAGAAGATTCATTAGCCACGGTGGCCATACAGGAAGCCAGGAAGGATTAGCATTGTACAATATTCTGCAACCTGAGAAACACAAACTCCAGCTCTGCTAAACAAACAGCAAAGGATTACTCACCCTGGTGTTTCAGCTGCTCCAGTTCCCACTTCTTAAACTTCGTATCTGCAGGTACATACCATGCAGGTCTTCAGACATCCAGAAGTCCAAGTTTTTCAAGAGCCAAAGCTGTATGAGTAAAATAGCACTGCTGCAATTCCTCATTTATCAACAGCAGGGAAAAAAGACAAGGAAAATCACATCTGTTAAGACTGAACTCAGAGTTCCAAAAGCCAAGGAAAATGAAAGAAGTGCTGCTTGTGCTCACAGGCTCTGTAATCTGATCAGGGGTATACAGATTGGTTACAGGTGTAAGCAATTGGTTACAGGTGCCACTCTCAAATTGGCTGCAGGTGTCACTCATTGAGACCTGCCCCAAAGGAGCACGATGGCCCTCATGGATACCTCTCATTCTGGCATTTGGGCTGACCTCAGGATCTGTTTAATCTTTTTGCAGTTGAAAGCACACAGTTCAGCTATTGAGGTTTTCTTATCAGAAACTGATGTGTAAGAAAAAAAAAAAGTTTAAAATTATCTGTGCTAGACTTTTAAGTACCATTGCACAGAAAATTAAAAAAAAAAACAAAGAAAGCATGTGCTTAAGATATGTCAAAGCTCAGAAAAAACGTGGTTTTGTTGGGTTGTATCTAGGGGTTTGGGATTTTTCATTTTTCTTTTTTTAATGTTGTATTGCACTAAATAGTTATTTATTTGTTGTTTTTATGACACTATATTCTTACATTTTAACATTATTAGCTTTTATCTGTGACTACTGACAAAAGTCAGTGGAACTCTCTGGTTCCACACAGTAAACACGCTCAGAGCCCCCCCACACACTCAAACTCTCTTGATTCAGCTTACAACTAGATGAAGAGCTTGACAAATTCAATGGATTTTGTTCCTGGTATGTATAATCCTTCTGAAGGAATGCCTAACTTTTTTTGCAGCTGGTGTCTCAATAGTCTGTCTGTTTAAACTCTCTGTGCTTTTACCAGAGATGAAACACCCAGCATCCAGCTGCCTCAAACCTCCAGCTCTGCACTTGAAAAGCCCATGCCAGGGAGTGGCAATTACCCTTCAATGACTTTATTGACTAGAAATGATTAAGGCAAGCATGACTGACAAAGCTGAAGTGACCACTTTTATTTTTAACCCAGCACCATTCTGTACCCATCCAGAATTAGCTCCGTGTGGTTCCTGCATGAAGCAATGCCTCACCACTCCTTGTGTCTCTGGGGCTTGGACAATAAGAAGAGTTATCCTTTCATAACTGCTCATAATGGCTTTTGGAAACTTCTCATGGCTTTTTGGGGGGAGTGCAACAGAACTCTGTTGTTGTAAAGCTATCATTTTTTAATTATTTTCTTCCTTTGGATTAACTTATACTGCCATCATGTGGGCAGGAATCAGACAAGAAGTATTCAGTGAAAACTCCCAACTTGAAAGTCTTCCTTTGCTTTTAAAACATTCTTCTTGCTAACAATATGAGCGCTTACTCAAGGTGTTTGAAACAGGGGCAAGACAAACCCCTGATTATTGGTTTGTTTTTGTTGTGACCCCACAGAAAAGGTGCCAGGGGAAGGAATTGTTTTGGAGCTGGGCAGTAACTGAGGAGCATAAGTGGTAAAGATGCTCCTTGATGCCTTGTGCAGGCTGCCCTAGAGCAGGGGCTGGGCAGAGCTACAGAACAAAGCAGGGATTGATTCAAAGCATCTCCTCCATGGACCCACCTTGGGCAGCACCAGAGCCCAGCCAGGGCTGCACCCAAGATGAACCAAAATGGCCCCAAAATGCAGGAATGCTCCCGGGCTCTCTCCCTGGGATCAGTTCTGCTCCATTTGCACCTTGCAGTTCATTGTCCCATTCCAGCTTTAGCCCAGGCACTCCCACCCTGCTTGTTTTTCTCTCTGCAGCCCACGGGGTTTGTGCTCTGGGGCTGAGATTGGGATCATTTGTCCTTGGTGCCCAGCTGGAGCAGGAATTGTTTTGTCTCCCTGCTCTGTGCACAGAGCTCACCATCCCTGAATGTGAAGCTCAGACCCACACACTAAAGCAGCACAGAATCTAGTACTGCTGAGGATAAAGCATGAAAAGACAAAGAATGACCCAAAAGTATACATGTTCTCTCTTTTTTTTTTTTTTTTTTACAAACAAACAATTTGAAAGAAAATTGCCACAGAATTTTAATTGCTTTATACATTCCTCATTATTTTGAAGAACTTAATCATTTTGGAAAAAAACCCCAAAACTTCAGCTGTCAGATAAGGCATTATGACCAGTTATTTATTTGTATGGACTAAAGTTACTTTAAAAAAATTGTAGAAACTGTACAGTTTAAAAAAAATAATATAAACACAGTATAGTGCCAAGAGCCCCAGAACACAGACTGAAATGAGAGTCTGCTAGAATTCCAGAAATTATTCTTGAAAGACCAACAGTTTTCAAGTTCAACTACAGGACAGAAAACCAGGGCTGGGATGTTTGCATCCATGTATATCTATCAATAGATATCTTTGAAATTTAGCTTACCAAAAACCTGTAACAGTCTTCAGAGAAGTAACAAAATGTCCAAGTAAAGGCTGAATTTGCCAGCTTCATGCTCTCTTTTTGCACAGCCCTTTTAAGCTGTTTTTCATGGCCCCAGTAAGTGGCAGCAGCCTCACCATGAGCAGCACTGTGTTCCTCAGGGTCCCACTGCTCACCCCGGGCTCAGCAGACAGCAGAACATAAATAACATATTGATTTCCCTGGCAGAGAAGCTTTTGAAGAGGGATGCCTCAAAATCCATGGAATATTTTTATTCAGGAATCTAACCTATAGCGGAAAATGATATTTTACACAAGAAAACAACATGCAAACTGGTATAGGCCCCCAAGTCTGTATGCCATAATCAGTTTACAAACAAACTTACATTGTGTAATGTGAGGAATGTACACAAAAACATCCATGTACTGCCACACAATTGCTACTTCAGAAATCAATATTATTATGTAATAAACACTGAAAGAATATTTCCTCTACATTTAGGTACTGTGGTTACCATGTCTTTTTTTTCTTTACAACAACTATAAATAACAGTTTTATTAGGAAATGTTGATTATAAAATCTTGGTCAGTTTAATAGCTTAATGATTGAGCTTTTTAACTGTTTAATATGCAGGCGTAACTTCACTCATTCATTTTCTGGGTGCATTTTCCCCTTGTGTTAAGATCAGATATATTCTCCCAGCTGTTTTGGGATCTTCAGGACTTGTCATGTCACATCTTGCTGTTATACTTGTTACAGCTAGAGGTGAAAGATAATTGAATTTAAATCAGGTGTATTTAGTATTGGAATATTGTAGGTAATAGGTAATTAAGGTTACTTAATGTAACAATAATTCTTTCACTTTCATAGCATTAATTTTTATTAAAATCAGGTAAGTTCCCTCATTCTTTAAAAGTGAAAAGCATTGTACTCTCATTTGCCTTTAGACACAAGCTTGACAAACTAGACTGAAGGAAAAAATATATTAAGATTAATAGATTAGAATTTTAACAAAAAATGGTACAGTTGCAAAACCAGAGAAGAATTAAAGAAGGGAGGGGTGCAAACTCTATACTAAGAATTCTATCAAAGATACTGACAAATTAGTTATCTCCAGTACATAACAAATTTTTCTGTCATAAGGCTGAGGTTCAAGCTTGACAGAAAACACAGGACTCCTCCTAACCCATGGATCAAGCCTATGTACAATAAAATAAACAGAAAAAAGGGAAAAGAAAGCAGGCAGCCCTCATTTAATCTATCCACTTCAGGTTCACTCAGACCTAGTACTTTACATTAACAAGCTCACACTCCTCAAAGGAAATACCTTGATAAAAAAGCCCTGTGAGCAGTGGTGCTGGAGGGCATCCAACATGTGCTGCTCATTTCCCACTGAAACTCTCACCAGCCTCAGCTGCAGACCCTTTTCTGCTCCACCACTTCCCTGGGAAGCAGAAATCACTCTCAAGGTGTAGGGAGCTCAAGGGAAGCAAATGCCAGCACAAATGTATCCCATCCGTCAGCTCACACAGTTTCTGTGCTACACAATGTTGAGAAACTCCTCTGGCTTGGCCTGAAGGGAGCCATAGATAAACACACTACATTTTCATATGGAGTATGCTTTTAGCCAGCTTGAGAAGGATTTCTCGAAACACAGGGCAGAAAGAATGTTTATTTCTTCTTTTAAGAGAGAAGAAAGAAACTTTCTTTTAAATGTCTTCTTTTAAATTTCTTTAAAAGATCTCAAATTGCTGTCTGGAGTTCTCGGTTTGCAGCTGAAAGATGCCAGAAGTAATTTTGGAGTCTCAGTGAGACTCATTCTCTTCAGTTACGTCCAAGAAGAGTCTTGGAGCACCAAAAAGAGCATATCTTGTTAGTTACCCATCAATTCCATCAGAAAAGCTGACAGAATATCTTCACTGTGGTAGTTCCACACTGAAATACAGCCCCTCCAGTAAAGAGGGACCAGATAAAACACACTGTACACTCAACCGAAAAGAATTTTACCAACACTCAGAGAAGCAGCAAGTGCTCAGTATTCCTAGGCAAACTTCTGCCTAGATAAAACACACAACAGAGAAAACAAGTCTTCATCCCTTTTTCTACATTTGATTGTAAAGCAGCAATTTCTAAAAGCTCAAAGAGGCTTGGGTCAGTATCTTGTCACCTTGCCTTAACTTGGAACAGTCTTTAAAGTGCTTTATTTTCTTTCCTCAGTCAGACCACAACATGCAACAGTCGTGAGATAAACAAATTATTTTGGCTAATCAAACCTAAAAAGTATTTCCCTTGTTTTCCATGAGGAAACAAACATATCTCCATTCTTCTTCCCTAGCCATCCTAGAGGTGAGCCCATATTTCATGCAGTGTTTCCTGGGGCTGTCTGGCCATTTCCATTTAATGCTCAGAGCTGGTTGGAAAACAGGCAAGGGCTCCCCAAATGTGTGGGGATTCACTGCAAAATGGGGCTCCCCAAATCTGAGGGGATTCACAGCAAAATGGGGCTCCCAAAATCTGAGGGGATTCACTGCAAAATGGGGCTCCCCAAATGGGAGGGGATTCATTGCAAAATGGGGCTCCCCAAATCTGAGGAGATTAACTGC